GATCAGAAAGGGGGATGGAATCGTATTGCATCCTCCAATTAGCATTTCAATATGTCCTCTCTTGCTTTTTCGCCTCTCAAGTAATTCAAAGCGCCAGTGGAAGATTCATTAGGAGATGTAGTACACTGCCTTCTTGGTAACAGGCTTGATGGGCCTTTTATTTGTGGTAAGGTAAAAGAAATGTTGTTTTGAGGGGGATCGCTGTCTTTCTTCAAAATCAGACATCTGTCTCTGTGCAGATGCAGAGGGACTTTTTGTCATCATCACAAGCTAATTCCCTCCTGTGCTGTATTGCCCAAATTTCTAGGCAAATAGCGCTCAGATTGGTTTTCTTCCCCAATTTTTTTGCATAAGTGTTTTCCTTTCATCTGCCCATTACATTTTCCCACATGCCAAGAGCAAACCATACACTTTCAGGGCCAGCAACTTATCGGAGATAAAGGAAAATAACAAACCAAAAAAGAACAAAAGTAAGGTGTCCAGAGAGAGCACGTTGGGTCATTCTAAGATGCTGCATCACCTCTGCCTCACAACATGGCAGATGCCTCTGAAGACAGGGCAGGCTCCTTAGAAATGGAAAGCTGCAGTACGGTGATGCAGCTACACTCCATGTGTTCCCCTTTCCTGATCTTTAATGGAAATTCATAGATGTGAAGGCCAGAAGGGACCATTGCATCAGCTAGTCTGACTTCCTGTACAACCCAGGCCAGAGAATATAATCAGTCCTCCTGTATCAAGCTTCATCTTGCTGGCATTCCCCCTGTGAGGATTTTCAGAAGCCTCACAACCTCGGAGATCCTCCATCAGAGCCTCCCGCCAAATGGTCTTTCAATGGAGGGAAATCCCCGCACGAGTCATGGCATGGGCCGACCCCTAACTGCCAGGGGTTAGGAAACAACACCCGCTGTGGGCATTATTCCGAAATGGCTCCCCCATTTGACATTCCCCCTCCCCACACACTCTTTCAGAGCCCTTTGCCTCATCAGGCCCCTGGAGTCTCTCCCTCCCACTGCAGTCCTGCTGACGATGGCCTCTCTACCTGAAAGCCCACTTGCTTCACATGCCGGGCTTTGCTCTTGCTCCCCAAGCCCAGATAATTCTCACACTGACCTCAGAGTAAAAAGGCACAAAACTCCACCATCCAAAGTCAGAGGCTGTTTGCCGGGATTGGTACAGGCTCCTCCTGGAATCACTCCCCAACACCATGGGCTGGCTCTAGTGTTGGGAAGCTGAAGGCATCCCAGCTGCTCTGGTAGGTGGTTTCTGCTTTTGTGCCAATGGCCAGAGTAATGCGGGAAGGAAGGTGGTTGAAGTTCTGGGAGGAGACTGGTCCACCAAGGTCTGTACTGTGTAGCAGAGGATCCTGCCCCAGGCCCTGCCCACTTCAGGTGCCCCCGGAGAGAGATATCTACCTACTGCATCAGCAGCACCACCCCCTGCCATGTCTGGCTTCACGCTGGCCATCTCCCCTTCCCATAGCAACCCACCCCAAACATGGTGGCTTGCAAGCGCTGACTTTACCACAGACCAAGATGGCATGTGGCCCCTCCCAGCTTGGTACTGTCACGGAGGTGGCATAAGCCTCACTAACTAGCCCAAGGGGGACTGATTGGCAGGGTCCCCCATTCTAGAATGACCAATGGCTTGTCCCGGATTGGCAACTCCCATGTTCCTGCACTGGAACATCTGGCTCTGGAGAGGGATGGGAATCACAAACTCAGCAGAGAAGCAGGCAAAATAACCAGTGTGATGACAGCTGCCTTGGGGACAGATTCCAGGAGGCATTCTCTGCTCCCTGAACATCAACTCTGCCAGGGAATGGGGAGGGAAATCTAGCAGGAAAAAATTAATATCTTCCCCAGTTATTAACCTGTAATATCTGGTCCCCTTGAATAAGGTCCCCTTGAAAGCTCTGGCCAGATCTTAAGTCAGGAGGGACTAACGCCCATACAGCATCCACCTTAACAACAATCCAACATAAATGATTGCTATTTTTTATGGTAACACCTAGGGACCTCAGCTGAGATTACAGCCCCATTGTAGATATATAGTGAGAGATAGAACTTACAGCCTAAACAGATAGGAGAAAGAAGTATTTCTAGCCCCATTTTACAGACTAGGGACTAATGCCCAGAAAGATTAAGTGCCCAAGGTCACCCAATAAGTCTGTAGCAGAGTTGGGAATTGATCCCAGATCCCCTGAGCCCCCAGTCCAGAGTTTCATAGAATCATAGAATCTCAGGGTTGGAAGGGACCCCTGAAGGTCATCTAGTCCAACCCCCCTGCTCGAAGCAGGACCAATTCCCAGTTAAATCATCCCAGCCAGGGCTTTGTCAAGCCTGACCTTAAAAACCTCTAAGGAAGGAGATTCTACCACCTCCCTAGGTAACGCATTCCAGTGTTTCACCACCCTCTTAGTGAAAAAGTTTTTCCTAATATCCAATCTAAACCTCCCCCACTGCAACTTGAGACCATTACTCCTCGTTCTGTCATCTGCTACCATTGAGAACAGTCTAGAGCCATCCTCTTTGGAACCCCCTTTCAGGTAGTTGAAAGCAGCTATCAAATCCCCCCTCATTCTTCTCTTCTGCAGGCTAAACAATCCCAGCTCCCTCAGCCTCTCCTCATAAGTCATGTGTTCTAGACCCCTAATCATTTTTGTTGCCCTTCGCTGGACTCTCTCCAATTTATCCACATCCTTCTTGAAGTGTGGGGCCCAAAACTGGACACAGTACTCCAGATGAGGCCTCACCAATGTCGAATAGAGGGGAACGATCACGTCCCTCGATCTGCTCGCTATGCCCCTACTTATACATCCCAAAATGCCATTGGCCTTCTTGGCAACAAGGGCACACTGCTGACTCATATCCAGCTTCTCGTCCACTGTCACCCCTAGGTCCTTTTCCGCAGAACTGCTGCCTAGCCATTCGGTCCCTAGTCTGTAGCTGTGCATTGGGTTCTTCCATCCTAAGTGCAGGACCCTGCACTTATCCTTATTGAACCTCATCAGATTTCTTTTGGCCCAACCCTCCAATTTGTCTAGGTCCTTCTGTATCCTATCCCTCCGCTCCAGCATATCTACCACTCCTCCCAGTTTAGTATCATCCGCAAATTTGCTGAGAGTGCAATCCACACCATCCTCCAGATCATTTATGAAGATATTGAACAAAACCGGCCCCAGGACTGACCCGTGGGGCACTCCACTTGATACCGGCTGCCAACTAGACATGGAGCCATTGATCACTATTGATCACTAGTCACATTATCACTAGATCACATTGATCACTAGTTTTAATAATTAAACATTCATCTGATCTGCTTCCATGATCTTTCATGTATATTCATGACCTAATTTATTTCAGTGGGAGCTGTGATTTCTCAGCACCTCTGAAAATACAGCTATTCGGTTCTCAGCCCTTTCCACGGCCTCTTGACAGCAAATCCAGTTTTTCAGTTCCGGTACCTCCATGGATCAGGGGGCAACAGGAGAATGAACCTTTAGCCTTCACCCCTCAGCCCCATGCAGATTCTTGTAGAGCCCTTCCTGGTTTCTGCAGATAATTTACTTTGTCTTTGATGTAGAAACTTTCTCCCTGAGTTCATCTGACTTGAATTAGTTCTCTCTGATTGTCATCAAAGTCTAATTAAAAATACACTTTAGATTATTGCGCTGGTTAGCTTGAAATCTGAAGATATGAAATGTGCTTTCTCTCTCTCTCTCTCTCTCTGTGTCTCTAGCAGCTTTAACCAAACGGATTGGCTCTAATCCCAGAGATAATTTAACAGGCAGGGCATGGAAAGGCTGTTCACGTCATTTATAAACTTTTGATTAATTTTTCCCCTTTCAAGCCACCACAAGTTAAGGAAGAATTGATAATGAACCTCTGCCCTAACAAGCCCTGTGCTGTTGGTCTGTGATCTAGGCATGGGCAGAAGGGAATCTCTTATGGTAGGTCTCAACTGCTAGCACCTCCATCACCCACAGCAGAGTACTGGGATGCTGGCAGGTGGCCTGCCTTCAAACCCCCTCTAAGCTAAGGTGACCATATGTCCCGTTTTGGCTGGGACAGTCCCCTGTCCCGGCTGTCCTGACTTTTTGGGGAAAACTGTGCATTTGTGTGGACAAATGCAGTTTTGCTAAAAAAGTGGGGTGGGACTCCTAGCGGGGCATGGAGGAACGTTGTGGGAAGGCCGGTAACAAGTGGCAATGCCAGCCCCGTGCTGGAGGGAGGTCTAGGGAGAGTGTCTCGGGCCAGCTGGCCAGCCCCACACGCAGCAGGGAGAGGGAGGCCTCAGGGGCCCCCAAGCATGGGCTGGCAAGTGTGGCCTTGGGCCGCCCTGCATATGGAGGACACGGTGGGGAGGCTGGGGCCAGACGCGGGCACTGGGATGGGGAAGCTGAGCCCAGCCCTGTGTGGGTGGGAGGCAGGGACGGCTCAGGCCAGCCCCCTGGGGGTGGTCACCCTATTCCAAGACCAGTTTGAAATGGTGGCCATCCACTGCTTGGATGCACGTTCACTCAAGCGCCCGCTGCAGGCAGCCATTTTGGGAAGAGAGGGCCGGTGGCTGCCGCAGCGTCTGGGGGGCGGAGGGGCAGTGTAGCGAGTGTAGGTGGCACGGCAGAAACCCTGCTGCCGCAAGGGGAAGACTGAAGCTCCTGGGGGTGGAGGGCCTGTATGCATTCGTGGAACGGAGCCAATAAGTGCCTACACCTCAGAAGCAGGTGTGATGCCATCGCTATCACAGTGGGGTAGGAACGCCAGGTTACCGGGGTTGCCGGGGGGAGCTCTGCTGGATGAGTTAATGGAGCGACTCGACTGTCGTAGGCTCTCACAGGCCATTCAATGGAGACTGCGGCAGAGTGGGACTCCCTGCAGGGACAAACTTGCAGGGGTCCGGCAGGGGGGTTAGGAAGATGGCTAGTACACCCCTCCCACAAAACCTCACCCCACTGCATTAGCCACTGCTCCCAGGAAGGGCCTCAGCGGCTGGGCTCTTACCTGCGGGATCTGTGGTGGGCGTACTGTCTGCTGTCCTTTCCTTTCACACAGCCATTGGTGCTGGAGGCCTCCTGAGCTGTGTTTCCATGCGGCTTTTCCAAGCGTCTCTCCTCCGTTGGGCATGACAGGCAGCTCGGCGTCTCAGTGCTGGGCAACAGATCAGAGAAACAGAGCAATGAGGGGCCGTTCTCCAGGGAGGTCACCTTGTCTGAAGGACTACAGCCGTTAATGTGTGTGTTACGCTCGTGCTCAGATGCTCCACCCGAGACCAGAGCCCCCCGGTGCTAGGCGCTGTGCAAACAAACAGTGAGACAGTCCCTACCCCAAAGGATTTACAGTCGAAATGGTGAAGCAGAGGGTGGGCGAAAGGAAGGAAGTTTCCCATTTAACAGATGGGAAACGGAGGCCCAGAGAGATGAAGAGAGTTGCCAAGAGTCATCCATTGGCTTTCAGGCCGGAAGGGGAGGCCTCTGCTCCCAAGCTCTGTCAGCAAGGTGGGTAGAAGGAGAGCCCTGTGGGAAAGAGGCGGATATGGGCTCTGGGTGGACTGGTGTTTGGTACAGATTCATACACACGTAGAGCCTGGGGTGGCGGAACCGGGTGGTGGAGGGGGCTAGCGCCCCTGCAATGGACATACTGGTGAGAGGTAGATCTAGGTTTCTGTCCCCCCACTTGTTTTTCACCCCCACGGTATCTCACAGAGGAGAGAACCAGAACCGGAGGGGATGAGCAGCCACGGCGGCAATAACATCAGACCAGCTACCAAGACGCAGGATGGATTCCCCGGCCCATCGTGGTCCAACCTTTCAGCCACTGTGGATCCTGATGGAGACACTGGAGCCAGGAGTATGAGTGTCAGCCACCAAGGTGGGGTGGGGACGGGACAGGGCACCAGCCACCGGGGTGGGTGGGCGGGACAGGGCACCAGCCACCAAGGAGCTGCTGTAATAGAAGCAGTAGGAACTACTGGGAAGCCCATCCCCAGCCTGGAGATGGCTCCCCAGCTTCCCGCCCTTCAGAGGGAGCTTCCACCCGGCCCACCTAAAGCTCTGGATGTGAGAAATAACAGCGAGCAGAACGGGAGGCGACGGCTCTGGGATTACACACAGCTCTCAGGACACCGTCACCTCCCATTCAAGCCACGCGAGGCTTAGGTGGAGAGAATTCCGTTCCCAGTCCCTTGTGTGTCACAGGAAACAACCAACGTTCAAACGAGACTCGAGAAAACACTTGTCTGAAGTCTGGCTCCAGTGCGACGCCGACCTGTTTCCATCTGCTTTCACGTCAGAGCTGCCACGAGCATTGAGAGACCGAGGCTGGGAGACTGCAGCCTGGAGATGGCTCATTTAACGGGTAAAACAGGAAGGAAAATAGCCGGCAGGAGAAGGGAAAAGCAGGTCCGAACAACAACACCCTCTAATGCAGTAGGCACCAAACCCCTCAGCAATATGGAGAGTGATCCCAGCAGGCAGGCTGTGCTCTCTCACTCCAGTTGCTCCTGGCTCCGAGCTCTGCTGGCCAACCTGCCGTACTGCACTATCCGTGTTCCCACTCCGAAGGCTGGCACTGCCCTTATGCGGCTTGGCTGGCACCCCCCCTTCCCTACCCAGCTGGCATGTCTGAGGGCAGCAGTGTGGCCAGCACAGCCCCCCGGCCCTGACAGACCCAAAGAGACTCCCTGAATGAAGCAGGACACAAGTAGCAAGGGAAGGGGGTAGGCAAGGGAGAGTCCAGGCTGTGGTCCTACCATGAGCACCAGCGATGGACTGATTTTCCTAAAATGCCATCAGCGTCAACTCCTCATTCCAGGCAAAAGCTTCCGTTTAACCTTCCAGGAAGGGGCTGCTCTTTTTCTGCAGAGATGTCTTGCAGGCACATATTCCTGGAGGGGTTGGTCAGGGTGCAAGAGGAAGCCAAGTCTCCTTGAAGTTATGAGCTTTCCTGTCAGCTTCAAGGGGCTTTGGGTCAGCCCTTGAGGTGGCAGTGGTGTAGCAGGCTGGCCGGGGCACTGGGATGAGGGGTGGGTGGAGCGATGGTTGGGGGCAATTCAGTGACAATAGAAAATGTAACCATGACACTGACAGGCCAGATGCCAGCTCTTGCCCAGGCTGTAGGCATGAGCTAAGAACGGACAGCCTCGTAGCTGGAGACCAGACCAGGTCACCTGTGTGTTAGCTTTGCTCCAAATAGGTATTAGTCTTACAATACTGCATTTACTGTTTAGACTCTAAGAACTGCTGCATACGTGACTCTCACTTATATACATATATAGGTTAGAAGGTGATAGTTAGTGTTAGTTCTGGAACTGTAAACCGCCTAGTCAGGAGCAAAGCATTACCCAGTGTGAAATATCAGTTTGCCACAGCATGTGTTATCTCCTCCCCAACAAAAGAAGGCCAATAGACACCAGACAAACCATTGGGGAACATAAGAGGACAAAAGACTTTGTTGATTGTTCTACCCCCACCCCCCACCCGCTGCCCACCCATGAAGAGGAGACATGCATGTGAACTTGTCCCATCATCTTGAACTCTGGGGGAACGGATGAAATCCCTGACAAGAAGAAACTGCGTCTTTTTGGCTGTTTGAACTCTGAATGGCCAGAGACTCTAAACTGAAGCCAGAGATCCCTGGGGGCTGCCTCCTGGGTCTGTCCTGAAAGACACTTGGAATTGACATATCACTACAATTCTGTCACTCTTAGGATTTAAGAACATAAGAATGGCCCTACTGGGTCAGACCAAAGGTCCATCTAGCCCAGTATCCTGTCTTCTGACAGTGGCCAGTGCCAGGTGCCCCAAAGGGAATGAACAGAACAGGTAAACATCAAGTGATCCATCCCCTGTCGCTCATTCCCAGCTTCTGGCAAACAGAGGCTAGAGCATTTAGATGGTAACTCATTGGCGTGTGTATGTTTGCTTGCGTTAACCTGAAAATAACTCTTTTATTCCGTTTTCCTAGTTAATAAACCTCTAGACAATTTATTACAGGATTGGCTACTGCTGTTGTCCTTGGTGTAAGATCCAGGGTCCCAACTGAGCTGCAGGTAAGTGACTGGTCTCTTGCGACTGGAAGCAGCCTGAATGTGGTGTGATTTTTGGTGCAAGTGCCCATTTATCACTAAGCCCAGTTTGTCTGGGTGGCAAGATAGACATGGCCTTAGGCTCTCCAGTCTACACGAGAGAGCTTACAGCGGCAAGGCTGAACTGATGCAGCTGCACCGCCGTAAGATCTCTCGTGTAGCCACTCTCTCCCCTCGAGATACTTAAACCACCCCCAGCAAGGGGCGGTGGCGATGTCAGTGGGAGAAGCTCTGCCACTGACATAATGCCAGTGAAACTCGTGTCGCTCAGGGGTATTCGGCATAAGTTTTGCTGACAAAAGTAGTAAAGACATGGCCAAAGGGGACGGCCTGAGACTCCACGGTAAGACTGTTCCAGTGATCCAGGAGTTCCCATTTGTTACTGGCTTGGTGAAATCGAATCCTAGACCATACCGTTTGGGGTGTCTGTGCTGTCTTTGACAGCCTGCCCTGAGGCAGGTGCTCATGGTTGGGAGCCACTCCACACAGCAGGACAGCAACCAATCACCTGTTGACATTTTTCTTACATCGATCATCTACCTTGTCGAGACCGTGCCCCTTCTTCTGTGTCTGTCCGGCGTCTCACACCATGGGGGCAGGGCGGATGTTAATGGCTAATATGCGTAAGAATAATGGATGCATTACCAAAGCCATATTACTGCAGTAGGCAACGATCAGTGGCCTGGCTGACTGTCAGCAGACGGACCAAGCAGCCAACGGAAGCAAAGATGGGACCTCCAGCTGGAGATGAGACACAGTTTAGGGAAGCTTGCACGGCCACTGTGCAATGCCATCCCTGCACAATAAGAATCAGGAGATTTCAGCACTGGGGCTTTCAAGATAGCACCCCATGGGTGGCATTAATTATTACAGAAAGAATGATCAGTTGATGAGATATTTACATGTCTTCTACTCCCAATTCCTAGTACTTCAGGACAATAGATATTGTAACCAAACAAGAGGAAGTTCTTCTGCATGTAACCAAGCTGCACATAGAAAAAACTCAGCCCCTGGTCTGTTTACATGCAAGTTAACCTGCTGTAAACTGATGCACCGTTCTTCGCCATCAGGCGTTCAAAGAACAACCATTCTTCTAATCCAGGGCAGGAAGCTGCCCCAGGCAGCAGGATGCCAGTAAAAATCAAGGGTGAGTAGATGACCCACAGCTCATTGCTCTCCCAATTGGCTTGGGCGATTCAATGTTTCTAATACCTGCTTAATCAAAAGAGGTGGCTGCTGCTTGGGCCGTAGGTGGGCAAGAGCAGGGAACATGGCTTGCCACGTCCCCGCCAGATAAGGAACAAAACAAAGGAAAAAGCAAATATTCTACTGCGTTAATTTAAATAGCTCCTGCGTGTCCTGGATCCTTAATGAAATCTTTACATCTTGGATTCAGACAAGACACAGTCAGACAGTTCTTAGGGCCTGCCAGCAACCTGGAATTTACAATTTACATTTGACACAAACCATAACTGACCATAGGCCATGGCTTTCCCTTCCCACCCCCGCCTCGCTCCTGAGCTGCGTTGCTTTGTGAGTAGACAGCTCCTCACCACTGCGTTAGCAAATGGAGTCACAGCCAGTCTTTACGCTCCCAGATTTATTTTGATCCCACTGAACCACGGCTGAACTCAGAACATGGCACACATGCGAGCGTGTCGTTAAAATGTATGCACAGGAGGAGTGGAGTGGAATCAAGAAGAATGGCGGAGGTGATGGTACCTTATCAATGCTGCCAAAAACGGAGTCTTTCAAATCTGTCCCAACTGGCATCTACACAGAGCATCCTAAAAGGACACACCGTCAGTTGCTGTAGTTTCCGTTAAAAAATGCAGCTGGCTGTGAAGTTCTCACCAGCTGGCAGAGAAAGTCTTTTGCAGGCTAAACCACAAACCAAAAGAACTACTATTTGGTTACCAAGAACTTTTAAAGCCCACGTGTAGGTAGGACCTACACTGAAACAGGACTTTGTGATCAGCTCCGCACTAGCTGAAACTTAAGTGATGGATTAGGTGAAACTTACTTGGTTTTAAGCCTCAGAGGGGTAGCCACGTTAGTCTGGATC